TCTTTGTTCTCTGCCCGTTGCTGTTGTCAGGTGAAAGGAGAAGCAGGGGAGTATGTGGAAAACTCCAAGTGCATCGGTGATTGAAAATCTGAGTAGGAGATTGAACGGCGGATTGGACTAGGCAGCAGCGTTCTGCATGGACTAGGTCGATTTTTTGTGACTAAAAGAGAGTTATAGTCTGAAAAGTAAGCTCTTGGTGCTCAAGTCAATCTTTTTCCTCATATTTGCCTACGTTGATGAGTCATGGGCCATGACCAAAAACTTCAATCACGCTAACAACGTCAGAAATGGGATTTCTGAGACGATTCTGTAGCCTTACGCGTCTCAGCTTGGTCCGCGAGAGTCTTGGTGTACAACTGCTGGTTCTTCAGACAGAGAAGTCACAGCTGCCATAGTTTGGGAGTGCTTCCAGAAGGGAAGGCGAAGCAACAATTTTTAACCATCCGACCGGGAGAAGTCCCAGGGAATGGCCAAGGTTAACCTGGTGCAATTATATGGAAGGAGTCTGTTCCAGACTAAGGTTGTCTTTTGCGAGAGGTGAAGCGCTGGTAAAGGATCGGGAACCTTGGAAGAACTATTCGGCGTGTCTGCCTTCATGGTCCGGAAGGAGAAGCGGTTATTAAAGAAGAAGAAGGAAGAAAGGCGAGCGATTTCGACATAGAGCTCGAACCTGAAGCTTGTGGGTTCTGAATCAGACGCTCTACAGACCGAACGACCGCGGTTTGAACCAAAGTTTGATAACCGGATATTTGCGGTTAAAACAAAGAGATTGCTCTCTGGGGGAATCGAACCTGGCACTTCCGCAGTATCCAAAAGATCTACGATATTTGGGCACCTTCAGTGCGTAAGTGCATTTTGGAATAACACCTAATTCTACACCAGCGAAATTTAGAAAGTGATCTTCATGTATGGGAGATAAGTACAAGTTCATAAGCTGTAGTACGGTAATGAAAATAAATATTCTCCAAAACTAGACTTACTTGCGTATTGAACAGCTGCACTGTTTCTACATTCTTAGGGTACCATTTAGGACGCCATAGTTCTGGAGAAGAACAAAAAATTGCATAACTGAGCACTTTTTCAAACCAAATAACTTTGGAGTGTGCTTTCAGTGACTCCGGTAAGCACAACAATGTCTTGTCACTTCTCCTGTTCATGTTAGGGCGTGACAGAATGCTGCTGTTTCGGGCCAATGTACAGCAGGTGCTAAAATGCCATAGAGCCGTGACCTGCCTGAAGAGTCCCCTAAGTAATTAAAAGCAAGATAACATAGGCTTTTCTTTCCATTTCATCACTCGGTTCAGTTAAACTTCCAGTGGAAGACAAGGTGCCTTTACCAAACTGATGCCAGCTGTCGATGAGAAATCTGTTCTTGAGTCGCAGTAAAAGCGCAACGTTTTGTTCAGCGGGTATCACAATCACTGAACAGCCTCCGATGTTGTTGCGTAGCTAAGGACGGCGAGGGGGGGGGCGAGAGGAGGGAGAGGCGAATGCGATTCGTACTTTCTTCTCGAACGACCTACGTCGAATGACCGGTTATAATAAATTTGACTGTACATTGCTTGCTCTACCTGTTGCTGAAGGAAAAATAGAACAACTTAATTCAGACATAGTTTGAGAGACCGTTTGTGTTGATTAGGTAGTGATGTGTAACATAAAGGGAAGCGAGAGATACACCGGTAACCGTTAGAGCTTCGGTCTCGTTTACGCATCCCTGATAGTTGCCATTGGCGACACCCCTCTTTTCATGTACATGAAAATGCTTACTGGTACGGCGGTAATTGTCACTTTGCATCAGGCACTCTCATCAGTAGAGATGCGTTAATTTAGTGGTAATGTCTACAGCTATTTAGCAAGTATAGCGTACAGCGACCGGCCTTGTTTCCCAGAAACTGGAATTTATATATTAACCTTGGTGTAGTGGCACCGTACGTAAGAGGATGGCTTCGAATTCCGGAGTTGCCGATTCGATTCCAACAGACGGCAATCTTCATCATAATCACGAATTCCCTTGAACAGGGAATTTACCATACACCGCTTCAGACTGGGTTGAGAGAGAGTCGGACCAAGAACCGAGAGGTCGTGCGTTCGAGCCCCGCCCGGGTCACTCACACTTCATCCTTCCAAGATTGATAAACAAATATAACCTTATGAGGAGACTACAAAATATGCTTGCCACATAGCTTCTGTCGGCTCTGCATTGACAGAGACACTCCTGGCTGATGATATGGAAATGGAGACTAGCGCCCTCCCCCCCACGTCACCATTAACTTCATGAAAAGTAGGGCGTCAGACTGGTCCCATCAAGAGAGTGAAAGGAAGTGAACGACATTCGAATAACAGCAAAGTCTCTTTTACTTATTTACACCAGGAGGTATCATGGCCGGGCCCGAACCGCCGTCCGCTCGACTGTGAGCCCGACGCTGAACTGCCTGAATAAGCCCTTATGATGTACACTAAAGCTACACGCGTCGTCGCTGACACATGGAAGTGACGCATGCTTAGTTGTATAGCAATGTTGTAAAGTACGCGTTCAGGCACCAGGGTGATAAAGTGATTGCGAAGTGCGCTAAGATGGGCGTTCGTCGTCGTCGGAACTGCCAGTCGCGCGGATTGCGGTGTTTCGGCTGTTTACCAACGGCTGTTCATATGACTGCTCTGCTGTGCACTGCGCTGACTCATTACCTCACGCGCATCCTGCCGCAGTAACAATGGTCGACGTTGAGACGTCACCGGTCGTCTTGAGGTAATCGGCGATGCGCGCGAGTGAAGTTAAGTTGTAGCTGAGGCGGTGCGGTGTGCGGGCACTGCCGCTGCACACCAGCACAGCAGCACAGCAGCACAGCAGCACAACAGAATGCCAGCAGGCCAGCCCGGCAGTACGATGGACAACGGCGACACAGCGCACGAATGGTCATCGTTGCCGGTGGTTATCCTGGCCAAGGTGTTCGGCTACCTTTCGCTGGCCGACGTCGGTCCGGCGAGCCAGGTATGCAAGCATTGGTTTCGGATGCTGGGCCGTGCCTCGACTTGGCACAGGATCGAGTTCGACCTGTTCGGCGGCATGGCCCAGGAACGATGGCAGTTACGCGTGGTGCAGGAGTACG